CTGCTGCTTGTGTTGTTCTGTTAGCGTTCTATGAGGTCTGAGAGTTAGCGTGACTTTGGAGTGGTCTGTAGCTTGTTAATAGTTAGTTCCATGGTTATCCTTTTACGATTTGATAATATATCCTGCAGTGTTATTTCTACGATCTGAGTATATTGTTTGTTCATTATGCTTGCTAGTATTGGTCGCTTCTGTACCATGCCTTTAGATATCATGATTCTGCTGGGTTTGATTGTTTAATTGAGTTGAATTCTGTGGTTTGTGTGATGTGCAGACCTACATGTTCAAGTACGACACCGTTCACGGCCACTGGAAGCACAGTGACATCAAGCTCAAGGACGACAAGACGCTGCTCTTTGGCGAGAAGCCAGTTACCGTCTTCGGCGTCAGGTACTATTTATTGGTATTATAGCCTCTTCGGATGGTTTGTGTTTATTAAGTTGTGAAACTAATTTTCGATGTTCTTTTGCTTAAAAGGAACCCTGAGGAGATCCCGTGGGGTGAGGCTGGTGCCGATTACGTTGTGGAGTCCACCGGTGTCTTCACTGACAAGGACAAGGCCGCTGCTCACTTGAAGGTATAATTGTTGTTCTGGTTTTTGCTCATTCACACTCTATTTCCGATCTATATCACTATATGTATACCTTTTCTGATCCTTTGAATACAAGGCTGAGAAAGAAACCTGAACTTCAGTTAGAAATTGTGTCCTGCTCCATGTATATTTATTTATTTACGAGAAAATCACACACGCACCCTCCAGGAGAGGAGAGCAAAGCAGAGTCTCTAATGCTGCTTGTCCCAATTTGTTTAGTTGGTTTGGTTGCTTCTGGTATGCTAGTTGTAAACACTGACTTCATGTAGTCCACTCTGTCATAGTAACCATCAAATTTATTGCTTTATCTCAATTACTGAATTATTCTAAATTATTTTAATTATTTGTTTATGCTAGCTGTATGCAAGTGCCACTGTTCTTCAGGGACTTAGCTTTTGCAATGTATTTCCAACACTAGTGATGTGATGCTAACTTACATTTTCACTGAATGTTAGGGTGGTGCCAAGAAGGTGGTCATCTCTGCCCCAAGCAAAGATGCCCCTATGTTTGTGGTTGGTGTCAATGAGGACAAGTACACCTCAGACGTTAACATTGTCTCAAATGCTAGCTGCACCACTAACTGCCTTGCTCCCCTAGCAAAGGTGTGTTTTGTTTCTTCACGTCGTCTTACCTTGACTACTTTTGGAATTGTGGATCAGTTTGTAATAATGTTTATCATCATTCACCAGATCATTAATGACAACTTCGGTATTATTGAGGGTTTGATGACCACTGTTCATGCCATCACTGGTAAGATTTTGTTGGTTGTTTGGCAGTGCTCTTAACTTATCTGCCTTAGTAATCTCTTCAACTTGACATTGGTGTGCTTGCCTCTCAGCCACACAGAAGACTGTTGATGGTCCCTCGAGCAAGGACTGGAGAGGTGGCAGGGCCGCAAGCTTTAACATCATTCCCAGCAGCACTGGTGCTGCCAAGGTACGCCACGAACAGCATATTGTGCATTTGTTTTCAGACACTGTTTTGAATGGACTGCTTACTTTTTCAGTTTGTCTAATTCACATCTAGATGTTTTCTGGATGTCACATCTAAGCTCCCACAAATAACGCAGCAACAAGGAACAGAAAAAAAGCTGGGACAAAAAAAAAATAGACCACAAACATAGTGGACATCAGGTTAGATGTGACATAACTATGTCACATCTAGATGTGTCCTAGACACACCCTTACTTTTTTGCCTGTTGTTTATGTTGTGCATATTGCATACATGTTCTTCCTTACGAGATTATTCTGTGATTGCGAATTGAAATACTTAAACATTGTGCATGCTTATGTCATTTGTGAGCTCCCAGTGGACCAGATAGTTGATTGCAGTAAAAATGGTAGCATGCAGTTTTCTTCTTAATTGGAGTACATCACTTCACCTAATGATCTGATGTGTTTCAGGCTGTTGGCAAGGTTCTTCCTGAGCTGAATGGCAAGCTTACCGGTATGTCTTTCCGGGTTCCCACTGTGGATGTGTCAGTTGTTGATCTCACTGTTAGAACCGAGAAGGCTGCATCATACGATGACATCAAGAAGGCTATCAAGTAAGTCTTAAATCTTAGAGTATCTCCTAAGAGAAGTATAAGAGTTATTGTTGAGAAAGATCTACTTCTAATTCCTGCCTGCCTGCCCATGTGACTCGAATGTCACTGATGTGTATTCAAATTATTTTCAGGGCTGCATCTGAGGGAAAACTCAAGGGGATCATGGGTTATGTCGAGGAAGATTTGGTCTCCACTGACTTTGTCGGTGACAGCAGGTATGATTGATGCCTTAATGCTGCTGACAAGAGCTACCGAGTGTTATCAGATGGTAACTGTTTCTCCATGTTGTATTTTTTCCATTCAGGTCGAGCATCTTTGATGCCAAGGCTGGAATTGCTCTGAACGACCATTTCGTCAAGCTCGTCTCGTGGTACGACAACGAGTGGGGTTACAGGTTAGTTGCCATATAACGGATTTGTTTCTACAACACGCTATCCAATGTCTCTGTTTCATCGCTTCAGCTTCAGCCTGTAACACTTGAATCTTATTTCTGTGCAGCAACCGCGTTGTCGATCTGATCCGCCACATGGCCAAGACTCAGTAGAGCGTTCTGATTTCCTTTGGTCAGAGGTGTCCCTGCTTTGTCTATGCGAAGAATAAATGTGGATGGTGTCGCCAGACGACGCCTGGTTCATGTTAGTTGGACATGAGTTACCTTCTGTTTTCCGCATCAACTAGTACTTCTGTAATGGAGTTGCTAATCAAGTACTCTTTTTTGGTTGTGGTTTGTGAAGATTATATAAATCGTTCAGTCCAGTACTTGTGTTTGCCTGAATAATCTTATTTCTCTTCCTTTCTGTGGGGCTTTTCGCCTCGTCTGTGCCTGCTCGGATTTTTGGTTCAGATGTTTGATGCCCTTGTTGAGAGCCAGAACTGTGTTTGAGTTAGGACGTTTACTGTCGCAATGGTTGTTAAGGGTCCCTCGGGTTCAGCTTCCAGAACCAGATTTTGTGCAGCTTTAGCCAGAATTGTGTTGCTGCAATGGCTTAAGGGTCCCTCAGGTTAAGCTTTCAAACCAGATTTTGTGCAGCAGATTATTGAATCCCAATGTATTGCAGCCGGTCAACTCCCCCTCAAGTAAGTACAGTTATAGTCAGCTTGTTATGCTCTCTGGGAGGGTCGCTGCAAAACCTGCTAGCTGGGTTCTTGGCAAAGTTTGATATTCTTAGAAGCTGCGGCCCGAGATTGCTCTGTTTTGAATCTAAATGCCAGGCGCCATATCAGCTTGCAAGGGAATGAAGCTTCATGCTCTTCCACTTTTTTATTGACTTATGAATTCCCACTCCCAAAAATAGAATCTGGCTTAATTGAAGTTCCTTGTTTAAAAATCTAGCACATTAACAACATCAATGTATGTTTCACAAATATCATAATTCATTAACTAATTTTGACCTCTGATCCTTTTTGTACAAGTTGGGGTGCATGACGGCTCCTATGCCTAGAAACTAGCCTCCGATATCAAGAGATTTGCCGCTATAGTTCAAATAATAATTTGATTTACGAGGGCCTCAGTCGCGCATTCTTTCCATTGGTTGGTTTTCCAGGGCCTAACTTGAGTGGGGGATTTCTTTCAGCTAGAGCTACAATTTTCAGCCAGGGCCTCAGTCGCGCATTCTTTCCATTGGTTGGTTTTCCAGGGCCTAACTTGAGTGGGGGATTTCTTTCAGCTAGAGCTACAATTTTCAGCCAGTTTTTCAAATTGGATCATGAAATCAGAGGCCTTTCAGAGAGAGAAAGCATAGGTTGTGTGAAAGGGGCTTGGTGAGAATGCAATGCCCTGAAAACCTGAGTTTTTTTTTCTTCTAAAATCTAGCATATTGACTCAACATCAATGTATACTACCATAAAAGTTCATATCAAAATTCAAAACAATGCTCGAGATACGAAAATGATTAATTAGACATCAATGTGACAAGCGGCCAAATCTAAAGCCCAGTTTATTTATGTACTATTTAGTGTCAAATTTATCATTTTGTTTTCTAAGCTATGTTTTAAATTTTAGTTTGAGATTTTGAGGCAACATACACTATTTTAAAATTTTAATTTGAAATTTTGCGAAAACATACATTTATGTTGTGTAATGTGCTATTTTTTAAAGAAAAAGTTCTAAACATCTAAAATATGCTAGGGGAGTTTGATGCATCGGTATCATCACAAGGTGGATGAGAACTGAGGGTAGCTCAGTTGGCAAGGCGTGGGAGTTTGCAGCCAGCCCACCAGGGTTCAAGTCTCGCCTTGATCATTTGGTGTCCATGAAGTTTTCTTCTATAAAAAAAAGCCAACAAGCTAGTCTCATCCTCTGACATACTATTATCCTCATCAAACTTGTCCCTGATTGTGCCCCCGCTGCAGACCTGTTCTACGTAGGACATCGCCGATAACCACTAGCAAAGCTAGCGCTTTGTGCTTATTACTTCGTTTCTCCCTTTTAGTCTTCTCACTCGAAGCCTGGGTTCCCAGCCGGCTTTACTTTTTTATCTGGTTTTTTTGGGACCGGTTTTATTTGTTTTTCTTTCTTTTTCTACTCTATTTCTTTTCTTTTTTTTCCTTTTTGTTTTTTATTTTCATTTTCTTTACTTTTTTTATTTTCCCAAAAGGCATGAACTTTTTTCAAATTTGATGAACTTCTTTTTCAAACTCGATGAACTTTTTTTAAAAATGCATGAACTTTTTTTCAAACTTGATGACCTTTTTTGGAAATTCATGAACTTTTCTTCAATTTTGATTAACATTTTCAAAATCGATTATTGTTTTTCAAATTTGACGTATGTTTTTCAAATCCAATGAACTTTTATTTCAAATTTGTTGAACTTTTTTTCAAACTCGATGAACTATTTTCAAGTCGATGAACTTTTTTTGAAAATTCATGAACTTTTTTCAATTTCATGAACATTCTTCAAATTTGATGAACACATTCCAAAGTCGGTGACTTTTTTTTTCAAATTCGATGAACTTTATTTAAAACTTGATGAACTATTTTCAAGCCCATGATTTTTTTGAAAATTCATGAACCTTCCTTCCATTTTGATGAACATTTTTCAAATTCCATGAATTTTTTTTCAAATTCAATGAACATTTTTCAAATTTGATGTTTTTTTTAAAATTCTATGGACTATTTCAAATTTTATGATTTTTTGGGAAATCCGTTAACTTTTTTTTTTCAAATTTGATGAATGTTTCTCAAATTTGATGAACTATTTTCAAATTCAACGATTTTTCTTTTCAAAGCCCAAGATCATTTTTTCAAATTTGATTTTTTTTTTTTGAAAATCAATGAAACTTTTTCTGGTTTGTGAACTTGATTCAAAATCCATGAACTTTTATTAATTCACGCCTTTTCCAAATAATTCAAAAATAATTAAGTGATATAGTAGATGGTTCTGTGCTATTATTAGCGTGGCGACTGTGTTTATTATGCATTTGTCGCTGACACAAATCACTAACGTTAGGTAGCTCGAGTGGCTAGTGGGAGTCACGGTGACCTCGATGTGCATGAGTTCGGGACTTGTAGAGTTGTTTTTGCGTTCACTACCTTTTTGTGGGCCGACCCAACTAAGCGCATAGCGAGCGTCAGGGACGAGTTCGGTGCCTGAAGCCCGATAGGAGCTCCCAGTGGAGTGGCGATCCCATAGGAGACCAGGGATCTGAATATGGGCCGACCCAAGTATTGTAGACGCTTCAGCGAGATCTACCGCGTTCACTGTCTGCGCGTTTTTGTCGGTCAGCCCAACTAAGCGGCGTAGCGAGCGCCAGGGAGGAGTTCGGGCACCTGAAGCACCCGATAGGACCTCCCTCATTCCCTTCCACCACTCCAGTTTAAGGCAACAGAACAATCCGGCGTACACCCTCCGCATCCTGGGCTCGGCCCATTTTTCTTCTTTTTCAACCTTCAAAAGGAGACGTGGGTCGTGAGATTTGAACTCAGAACCTCACTCTTTTCTTCCAAATGTCTCAAAAAAAAATTTCTTCCAAATTCAATAACCAACTCGGACGGCTCACATACTATGTTTTCTAATACTTCTGTTGTTTCTTATTCTGTGCCTTCTAGACTTTTTTTCTTTGCCAATTTTTCATCTGTTTTTTCACTTGGGTTTTTATTTTTTCTTGTTCCTTCTTCTTTTTTATTTTCTAAAATACATAAAAAAATATCAAATTTGGAACTTTATTCAAATCGTGAACTTTATCAAATTTGTAAACATTTTTTGAAATATGTCAGCTTTTTCAAAATTGATTAACTTTATTCAAATTTTTGAAATTTATTTTTATCACAATCAATGAACTTTTCTTAAATCTGCGAGCCTTTTTTTTCAAAAATCAGGTGATGTTTTTTCAAATTTGTGAACTTTTTTTTTCACAATTTTTTCGAATTCATAACATATTTTCAAAATTGATGAACGTTTTTCAAATTTGTGAAAAGTCGATGAACTTCTTTCAAACCCGTGACTTTTTTTCGAAATCCAGAGAACTTTGTTTTAATTCGTGAAAGTTTAATTGAAAATTGAAGATTTTTTAAATGCGTGATCTTTTCCCAAATCCATGTCATTTTTAGTCAAATCCGTGAAATTTCCCCCCCAAATTTCATGAAAATTTTCAATTTTTTTTCAAAATTATGAACCTTTTGCCATATTTCATGGCTTTTTAAAAGACAAATCATGAATTTTTAAAGCCACGTTTTTATCAAATTATGATTTTTTTAGTTTGCAAACATTATCTCTTTCCTTTTAATTTTTTTGATATTTTAAAAAGGTGAATGGTCAACGTTTTGACACTTCAACTGTTAACAAGTCATTTTTTTTGCGGGAAAACAAGTCATTGGTCAACCGGTCAAACTAGGCGAGCGAGCGACCTAGGGCTTGGGAAGCAAACGAGTGATTTGTGGTTAGCTAGGCCGGCCCATAGCGCGTGCCAGCTGAGGTTGATGGCGCCACAACCCTCAAGCGCCACGTATATAGGAAAAATGTAGAATGCAAACCAAGAAATACCAAAAATGATAAAAACAATGAAAGAAACAAAGAAAAACTGAAAGTAGAACGAAAAGAAAAACAAAAAACGGTGAAGAAAAACAAAAAAGACGTAAAAGGAAGAAAAAACGGAGAAATCTGAATAAAACATAAGAAAAAGAAAGAAAGTAAAATATGGTGAAAACAAATAAAGAAACAGAGAGAAACAAATGAAAAAAAAAAGATAAAACAGAAACAAAAACACGGAAAATCAATGCAAAACTGGGTCTTTTACCCTTAACTAGGTCGCACCCTTGTATTATACACAAAGCTGAAGTTGGCGTAGTGGCCAGCAGTGTAGCCTGTGAGCTCGCAAACCGAGGATCGAAATTTGTTTTTGTTAGAGTATCTCCAGCCGTCGCCCCCCTCCAGGGGGCTTGAAAAATCGCCGTCT